TCACACACACACACACACACACACACACACACTCACACACTCACACACACACACACACACACACTCATAGACACACACACTCACACACACAGACACACTCACATGCACACAAGACTCAAACACCTCTAATTTCCCGGCTCTTCCCCATTCCTTCAATTCAACCTTACACATCGTCAACGAATCATGATCATATTATTCTATTCAGCTAGATGATTGCTCCTATAGAATGGAGAGTATCTGAATGAATGAGCTCCGAACTGCTGACCCCTCGCTTTGTCTCTCGTAATTATATTATTTATGTGCGATCGACGAAAGAAAGAACCGAAAAGCCGAAAACTCGAGGCCATTCCGACAGCCTAATCTTAATTAGCCTTAACATACATCGGTGCAGGAAAAGGATGCAACTGTATACGATTTGTCGGATAAAATGATCCGCAATGAGCCACCGGAAAGAACGCTCAAATTACCTGAAACTGCTTCCCGGTTAGCTTTCCCAGCCCCCTTTTTTCAGGTGAATAATCACAAACGGTGAACGTAAGTTCACTTTTCACAAATGTTGTAGCCACTCGTACTTTGCATACTGCACAGATTGAGTCATTGTAGGTTTGGTGTGCCGGTTTTGTTTTTTGCTTTTTAGTGGGAGGGAGTTGAGGGGGGGGGGGGGGGGTAAGTGTTTTACGGCGCTCACAACTGCATAAAGTCATATGAGCACGCAGGACACATGAAACATTTTCAGTTGATAGGGTATTTTGAATGTTGCCCGGGTGGCGGCCGAAGCCTATTATACCCTTATCGTTAAGAAAGCGGGTGTCTTGGGCCACACGTGTCAGGGTCAACACGAGGTCAGCGAGACAGAGCATCTCAGGAAAACGATGACAGCTGTTCGAAGACAGGAACCTCTCTACTCGGGTTTCGAACTCACGTCTTTTACCTGCTCTGCTGCAGTGACGGGCCCTACCATAACGACACATTCGTCAGTGAGAAGTGGGCGTCACACACACACACACATGGAAAGCCACTCAGACTAATGCCGTTCACTTGTTGCCTTGTGTCCGCCTCTCCCGACCCGGCATGTATGAAGTGGTTTACGCTTTTCCGGGAATCTGTCAACAGTGAAATCGCTGACATTTGCCGAGCGGGCCCACAGACTGCAGCCAGGGCTGTTCTTGTTGTGGCTCGTAATGCGAAAGGGCAGCGCGGAATGCTCAGTGCATTGTCCGTGGTTCAGACGTGAGGCCTGTTGTGCCAATGTGTGGCCGCATGTATCTGTTCTCTCGGTTTGTGCACCTGTGAGTCAGCTGTGTGCCCCGCACGTCTGCTCACCACTCACAGCGACATTTGTCCTCCACACCGCGCCATGTTCTTCTCTGCGACAACAACAGACGTTTACAAACTGGGAGATCCCGCCAGTTGGCAGACGTTCGTTGTTCGTCTGTGTCGGTTTCTGCTCGGTTTGTGTTTATGAGCGGGTCTATTGCGAGCGCCGTAAAACCCTATACTACTACATCTGTCTATCTATATATCTCTCTATCAATCTATCTGTCTGTCTGTCTGTCTGTCTGTCAGTCTATCTGTCTGTCTATCTGTCTGTCTGTCTGTCTGTCTGTCTGTCTGTCTGTCTGTCTGTCTGTCTGTCT